CAGATTACTGCAGTAAAAGTACTAATAGAGAGATTACTGCAGTAAAATTACTAATACACAGATTACTGCAGTAAAAGTACTAATACACACTAGGAAAGGACTACAGTACAAGTAAAAGTACTGCATTCAGAACTTCCCTGAAGTAAAAGTACAATATGTACCTCTCAGATGTAGTATAGTAACAATTACTCAAGTAAAGTACAAGTACCTGTAATGTGTACTGAAGTACAATACTTTAGTAAATATTCCTGGTAATATTGTATGTTTCCTAGAGCAATGCACTCTGGGACTTGTAGTCACTTCCAATCACTCACCTTTGGTCCTGTTAAAGCCGTCTGTGTTGATCTGTCTGTCTGTTTCTCTGTCCACCGGTCTGTCCACTGGTCTGTCCACCGGTCTGTCCACTGGGCTGTCCACTGGTCTGTCCACCGGTCTGTCCATCGGTCTGTCCACCTGTCTGTCCTGTGAGGACGGTCTCCTCTGAGCTCTGTTACTGCAGCCTCCCACCTGATGGATCCAGTGATAATCAATCAATCAATCAATCAATCAAACAATGTCTGTCTGTCTGTCTGTCTCTACTGACCTGATCTATGTAACAGTCCTCTGTAGAACATTGAGTTCTTTGTCTTCTGTTGGAGTTCATCGTCTCCGTCTGGCGCCGTAGGGGACGCTCCACCTGGTCTCCATGGAAACGATCCTGATGGACAGGTCAGAGTGATGTCACTGTTACAACCTCAGATATTCAATGTAATATCACAGTATTGTCACAGTAATATCACAGTAATGTCACAGTAATATCACAGTAATATCACAGTAATGTCACAGTAATGTCACAGTAATATCACAGTAATATCACAGTAATGTCACAGTAATGTCACAATAATATCACAGTAATATCACAGTAATGTCACAGTAATATCACAGTAATATCACAGTATTGTCACAGTAATATCACAGTAATATCACAGTAATGTCACAGTAATGTCACAGTAATATCACAGTAATATCACAGTAATGTCACAGTAATATCACAGTAATGTCACAGTAATATCACAGTAATATCACAGTATTGTCACAGTAATATCACAGTAATGTCACAGTAATGTCACAGTATTGTCACAGTAATGTCACAGTAATATCACAGTAATATCACAGTATTGTCAAGTAATATCACAGTAATATCGCAGTAATGTCACAGTAATATCACAGTAATATCACAGTAATGTCACAGTAATGTCACAGTAATATTACAGTAATGTCACAGTAATATCACAGTAATGTCACAGTAATATCACAGTATTGTCACAGTAATATCACAGTAATGTCACAGTAATATTACAGTAATATCACAGTAATATCACAGTGATATCACAGTAATATCACTGTACTATCACAGTAATATCACTGTACTATCACAGTACTATCACAGTAATATCACAGTAATATCACTGTAATGTCACAGTAATATCAGAGTAATATCACTGTACTATCACACTAATATCACTGTACTATCACTGTACTATCACTGGACTATCACAGTAATATCACTGTACTATCACAGTAATATCACAGTAATATCACTGTAATGTCACAGTAATATCAGAGTAATATCACTGTACTATCACACTAATATCACTGTACTATCACAGTAATATCACAGTACTATCACTGTACTATCACTGGACTATCACAGTAATATCACTGTACTATCACAGTAATATCACAGTACTATCACTGTACTATCACTGGACTATCACAGTAATATCACAGTAATATCACAGTAATATCACTGATATTACTGTGATATTACACTGTGAAGCCACAGCAGCTTAATAAAATACATTAAACTGTTGGTCAAAAATAAATATATATAAATCACAAATCTGTTTTCAGACAGACATACATAAAACAGTAAAGTATAAATATTACTTTAAATCAATAACATACAAGGACTTCCTGTTTCTACTCACTTTTATGTTTCTGTTTATTAAATTCAAATTAAACCTTTTTGAATTTCGTATTACAATCGTTGACCTGTCATATTTAGTAAATCTACCAAATAAATACTACTAGTGTAGTATAAAGTACACCATGCAGAGAAGTATAAAGGTACTACAGCAGTGTAGTATAAAGTACACCATGCAGAGAAGTATAAAGGTACTACAGTGAAGTACTCTTACCTGCAGCTCGGTGCTCTGCTGAGTCGTCTCTTTGGAGGACCTGATGGTGTTGTGGTCCAGAGCCAGACCACCGACCAGAGACACACACAGGAAGCTTCTCCACATCCACATCCTCCAATCGGTGGATCGGTGGACCTGTGGATCGGTGGATCGTGGACCTGTGGATCGGTCCTCTATCAGCTGTCGATCACTGGATCCTCCTCTTCTGGTCTCCGACTGGTTCTGCTGTGTTTTGATTTAATAATTGATCTGAGTTCTAAATAGTTTGAGACAATAAATAAATCAGTTTTCTTCTTCTCTGGTTTTAGACGTTCTTCATAAACATCAGTAGTTCTCTGACCCTCTCTGCTCCGTCTGTTCCCTCCTTCAGGTGCGTTTGTTTTTTATACCCTCCCCTGCCCTCTGATCCGTCCCATCCCCTCAGAAGATTTTTGAAGGTGCGTTTGAAGCTCAACCGCATCAGTCGGAGGAGACTTCCTTCCTGGAAGCCTCAGGTGAGGGCGGGCCTTTTGATACGTGACACCGCAGAGACCACAAGAGAGATGAAAACACACCTGGAGACACAGGTAGAGTGTGTGTGTGTGTGTGTGTGTGGTTTGACTTAATGTCGGCATAAAGACTCATTAGAGCTGGCGGATGTGTGAGTGTTTACAGGTGATTACAGCTGATTAACAGTTTCACAGGCGTCTCAGTCTCTGAGCACTCAGTGTGTCCAGGTGTGTTTGTGTGATGGACAGGTGAACCAGAAGGTCTCACCAAGGTCCAGTAGACCAGGAGAGCAGGAGACCAGTAGACCAGTAGACCAGGAGAGCAGCAGAGCAGGAGACCAGTAGACCAGTAGACCGGGAGAGCAGAGCAGGAGAGCAGCAGACCAGTAGACCAGGAGAACAGGAGAGCAGGTGAGCAGGAGAGCAGGAAACCAGGAGACCAGGAGAGCAGTAGACCAGTGTTGTTTTTTTGTTCATGTTGGACCCAAATATCTAAAATAATTATTAGATATTAAGGTTGTTTGGCTAACCGCTAACCGCTAACCGCCAACCACATTACAAGTACACAGCCTGCTGAGTACCTCTTGGCCGCTCCTCTTCACCTTTCGAGTTAATATTATATTCTTTACTAATTAATCACCAAAAACAATAATGGAAATATCATCATTGTTAACATTTTATTTCATATATTTCATTTTATTTGTATTTTTGGATGAAGCTCACAGAAGAATTGATGACATTAATTCATCATGAAGACTCACTTTATATTTCTGATGTAGCCAATAAAACCTCATTACAGTTAATAAAGTCAGTGACACTTCCAGTAAATGTCATGTGACGTTCTATGAGAGAACCAGAATGAGAACAGTTATAAATGTCATGTGAGGTTCTAAGAGAGAACCAGATTGAGAACAGTTATAAATGTCATGTGACATTCTATGAGAGAACCAGAATGAGAACAGTTATAAATGTCATGTGACGTTCTATGAGAGAACTAGAATGAGAACAGTTATAAATGTCATGTGACGTTCTATGAGAGAACTAGAATGGGAACAGTTATAAATGTCATGTGACGTTCTATGAGAGAACCAGTGTGAGAACAGTTATAAATGTCATGTGACGTTCTATGAGAGAACCAGAGTGAGAACAGTTATAAATGTCATGTGACATTTTATGAGAGAACCAGTGTGAGAACAGTTATAWATGTCATGTGACGTTCTATGAGAGAACCAGAGTGAGAACAGTTATAAATGTCATGTGACGTTCTGTGAGAGAACCAGAGTGAGAACAGTTATAAATGTCATCTGACGTTCTATGAGAGAACCAGTATGAGAACAGTTATAAATGTCATGTGACGTTCTGTGAGAGAACCAGAATGAGAACAGTTATAGATGTCATGTGACGTTCTATGAGAGAACCAGTGTGAGAACAGTTATAAATGTCATGTGACGTTCTATGAGAGAACCAGAGTGAGAAGTTATAAATGGCATGTGACGTTCTATGAGAGAACCAGAATGAGAACAGTTATAAATGGCATGTGACGTTCTATGAGAGAACCAGAATGAGAACAGTTATAAATGTCATGTGACGTTCTATGAGAGAACCAGAATGAGAACAGTTATAAATGTCATGTGACGTTCTATGAGAGAACCAGAGTGAGAACAGTTATAAATGTCATGTGACGTTCTTCACTCATCATGTGACTGACGTCAGTTGATGTCAGAGAGGCGTTCAATGACCGCAGGACGTTTCAGGAAACAAACTGCTGTCAGTGACGGAAACAAAAGACGTCACAGGAGCAGGAACAGGAGCAGGAACAGGAGACAGGAACAGGAACAGGAGACAGGAACAGGAGCAGGAACAGGAGACAGGAGCAGGAACAGGAGACAGGAACAGGAGACAGGAACAGGAGCAGGAACAGGAGACAGGAGCAGGAACAGGAGACAGGACCAGGAGCAGGAACAGGAGACAGGAGCAGGAGCAGGAACAGGAGACAGGCGCAGGAACAGGAGACAGGACCAGGAGCAGGAACAGGAGACAGGAGCAGGAACAGGAGACAGGACCAGGAGCAGGAACAGGAGACAGGAACAGGAACAGGAGACAGGAGCAGGAGACAGGAGCAGGAGACAGGAACAGGAGACAGGACCAGGAGCAGGACCAGGAGACAGGAGCAGGACCAGGAGACAGGAGCAGGAACAGTAGACAGGAGCAGGAACAGGAGCAGGAGACAGGAGGCAGGAACAGGAGACAGGAGGCAGGAACAGGAGACAGGAGACAGGAGACAGGAGCAGGAACAGGAACAGGAGACAGGAACAGGAGACAGGAGCAGGAACAGGAGACAGGAGCAGGAACAGGAGACAGGACCTGGAGCAGGAACAGGAGACAGGAACAGGAGCAGGAGACAGGAGCAGGAGACAGGAACAGGAGACAGGAACAGGACCAGGAGACAGGAACAGGAACAGGAGCAGGAGACAGGAACAGGAGCAGGAGCAGGAGACAGGAACAGGAGACAGGACCAGGAGCAGGAACAGGAGCAGGAGCAGGAGACAGGAACAGGAACAGTGTTAAAACTCTACTTGAATATGAGACATGATTTTACGGATAATCACAGTTTATGGTGTTTAGTCGGTTACACCTTCAGTCTATGAGCAGATCTCTGAGTTACTCGCTGTCTTTAGAGCAGCTCACAGAGAATAAACTAAGCTTTAGGGTTCCCCCTCAGGTAAACACTGTTAGCACTGTTAGCACTCCATGTTGAGAGCCGTGTGAAGGCAACCGATAAACTCAGAATTCCATCTTAAGCTCCTTCGAGTCCTCAAAAGAGAAATCGTTCCTCCAAAAGACGGCGACCGAAGCAACGAAAACAACTTGAGATTCAAAAATACACTCACGAGAAACAAGAAGCAAGACAACAAGTCTGCTGGAGAACGACATTCACGATGTTGTAACACTGGTTTCATACATCACACATAGAGCTTTACATTGTGAAGTGACTTCATGTGTTCACACACACACACACACACACACACACACACACACACACACACACACACACACACACA